TGGTGGCCACATCAGCAATGTTTTACCATCCTTCTCACAATGATCGACAGGCTGAGGCTGCCCTTGCATCCAGGCTTTCTCTCTCATCACCAGAGCACAGGCCTTCACTCAGATGTCAGTCACCTGAAGCTCACCACATGGAGGATAGACCTCTCGTCACAAACATCCTGACAGAGGCAAGACTTCACTAACCGCCTATAAATTTGTAAGTGGAGATGTTTCCAAACTTTATGCACCATCACAGAATCTGCCGGACTCTCCAACCTCTCTCCCCACTGTTCTGGCTTTCCTGCTGCACCTCAAGCAAAAGAGACTCTCCATTTCATCTGTCAAGGTGGCATCTATAGTAGCACACCAACCAAATGACCACTCATCTTCACGTCTCTTCAAAAATCAAACCATTAAAAAGTTTCTGAAGGGCCTTCAGAATGCCTACCCAGATGTGAGACCTCACATGATCCATGGTCTCTCTTGCTGGTTCTGTCACAGCTCCCCAAGCATCCCTTTAAACCACTGGCCACAACGGACCTCCACCTATTAACCCCAAAGTAGCTATTCTGGTGGCCCTCACATTGGCCCTCTGGGCTGCAGAACTCACAGCCCTTTGGTGTGATTTGCCATACATAGCTTTCTCTCATGACAGGATCACTCTTCACACCAACACCTTACCTACCTTCTACCCTTCTCCACAGAATGACTTGGAACAGTCAGTTCAGTCCTTGGACGTCAGGTGGGCCTTGGCCTTTTGCCTAGTCAGGACAAAAGGCTTTTGACAGACAACTGAACTTTTCATCTACCAAGGTCCCAAGAAGGGACACCATGTCTCCTCTCAGTGATTCTCCAAGTGGATCTCTACGGATATCACCCTGACTTATGAACTGGCAAACAAACTTCTGCCTTGGGCTTTCTGCAGTCATTCCACCAGGGCGGTCTCCTCATCTGTTGCCTTCATACATGGATCCAGGAGATCTACTGAGCAGCTACATGGTCCAGGCCATTGACATCTGTCACACGCTATAGATTAGACCTCAGAGCTCAGAAAGATGCTGCATTTCGAAGAGCTGTTCTGTCCTCTTCTTTTGATGTAACTCCCTCCTCCAATATATACCTTGCTAACCACCCCTTTTGTGTGCATACAAGGACACCATGAGAAAGAATACTGGATTACTTACCGTAACTATGGTTCTTTGAGTGGTGATCCATGTATCTACACATCCTGCCCACATTCCCTCTTGTTTTGCCCTTCTTTTTTTCTTGTGGCGATAACTGAGGAGTGGGGCTGCACTTGTGTGGTATAGCCTAGAGACACTTTGGTTTTTGAGGCTCTTGAACTTCCCGAAATGGTGTTTGCACAAGTGCAGAACCCTTTTTGTGTGGATACATGGATCACCACTTGAATAACCATAGCTATGGTAAGTAACCAAGTCTTTCCCATAATTTGCATGTGGGAAGCAACTGGTTTAAACAAAAGTAGCATCTGTGTCAAAGCAGACTGTGAGTGTTGAATAAGGTTTCTTCAGGCTGATGGTTGACTCCCTCTGAAAGCGGAGGGCATAGTGACACATGGCATTTGGTAAGTGTGTTCTCAGAACTGCACTGCTGAGATATGAACATAACTGGTGGGAGGGGAATTTAGAGAGACATATCAATGTACTGGAGAAGAGATGATTCAACTTTCCCAAGCCCTGTGACTACCAGGCAGTTTCCCTCTCAGATGGGCTTGCTTCCAGCCTCTGAATGCAGCAGAAGAAAAAGATGGCATAAAAACAGCTCAAGAGAAAAATGTGAAGAGGGCAGCCAGTGGGCTCCAATCCTATCATTAGATGAAGTGGGGTAGCCACCAGCCATCAAATTTTGGTTGTCGTGAAAGGGCAGCTAATTTATAATGATTAAATCTATATTATTATATTTTTACAGTTAGGAAAAGGAAGAGGTGCATATTCGGCCTACTGCTTAACGTGCCAAAACATTTTTAAAATAACTTTGAGTATTATGTGCAGCCAAGTGAAAAAGGAAGTACACCCTCTTTGAATTCTGTGGTTTTATGGTTTTATGTATGAGAAAAATCATATGGTCCTTAGCAGGTCTGAAAATTAGGTAAATACAACCTTAAAGAACAACACATAATATATTACACGGTGTTATTATTAATTTTACAAAAATCAAGTCAAAATGGATTGCCATTTGTGAAAAACTAAGAACATTTTATTATTTACTACCTTGTAATAATTTAGCAGCAGCAATAACTTGAAGTGTAATCATTTTCTGTATGACTGTCAGTCTGTCACATTATTGTGGAGGAATTTTGGCCCACTCTTCTTTACAATGTTGCTTCAGTTTGTTCAGGTTCATTTATTTATGCACAGCTCTTGTAAGGTCCCGCAATTGGGTTGAGGCCTGGACTTTGGCTGGGCCCTTCCAACACCCTAATTCTTTTCTTTTTTCAGCCATTCTGTTGTAGATTTGCTGGTGTACTTGGGATCATTATTCTTTTGCATGACCCAATTTCAGCCAAGCTTCAGTTGTCCGACAGATGGCCTCGCATTTGACTCTAGAATACTTTGATATATAGAGGAGTTCGTGGCTGATGCAATGATTGCAAGGTACCCAGGCCCTGTGACGATAGAACAAGCCCAAATCATCACCTGTCCACCACCACGCTTGACGGTATGAGGTGTTTGTGCTGATATGCTGTGTTTGGTTTTTGCCAAACATGGCACTGTGCATTATAGTCAGACATCTCCATTTTGGTCTCTTTTCTGTCCAAAAGAGGTTGTTCCAGAAGTCTTGCGGTTTGTCCAGATGCATCTTTGCAAACCTAAGCCATGCTGTCATATTCTTTTTCGAAAGGAGGCTTTCTCCTGGCAACCCTTCCAAACAAACCGTACTTGTTCAGTCTTTTTCTAATTGTACTGTCATGGACTTTAACATTTAACATGCTAACTGAGGCCTGTAGAGTCTGAGGTGTAACTCTTGGGTTTTTTGCCATTTCTCTGAGCATTGCAGGGTCTGACCTTGGGGTAAACTTGCGTGGACGTCTACTCCGGGGAAGCTTGGCAACTATCTTGAATGTTTTCCACTTGTGAATAATCTTCCTTATTGTAGAACATTAAGTGGTTTGGGAGTAGCCTTATTACCCTTTCCAGATTGATGGGTAGCCACAATTGCTTCTCTACAATCATTGCTGATGTGCTTCCTCCTTGGCATTGTGTTATCACACTCCTGAATGCTCCAGACCAGCAAACTGCTAAAATTTTGGCTTTTATAGAGGTGGTCACACTTGCTGATGATCAATTACTAAAGGGCATTTGGTTAGCAGTAGACATGGGCAAAGCAAACTACACCAGAGCACAGAGTGCTGTCCTCTGAAGATGCCGGCCAGAGAGACTGGCAAAACATTAGGAAGAACAGCCTTCAGAACATGGCCAAAGAGCCTGAAAAACCCACAACAACCTGTATGTACTTTCTTTTTCACATAACTGGACTTTCATTTCTCAGAGTAGGGGGTTCTATTTTGCCTTAGGTAGCAACATGTATTGGGCTCATTCTGGCAATCACTGTTCATGGTTAAGATTAGGAAAAACAAACAAGTAACCTTTGCCACAGCCGACCTTATTGTATGCTGAACAGCCATGAATCCGTGACAAAATGGCCCCAGGTCTAATTTCGAGTTGTATTAAACTATAAATGTGAGATTGGGACAACAATGCTCCTTTCTGAGGTGAGCATAAGAAAGGTGCAGCATAACATCCTAAACTGGTAATGCCACAACTTCATTGCCTTTGCTAGAGAACATTTGTATGGACTCTAGAGTTATGATCAAACAATGCACATATATCCTATCTAGGCTGCTGATGTGGTATATTTAATGCTTTTCTGTAAAACTATACACTATATATACTCTTTTACTATATGTTGTTTTCAGCACATTTTAGACCCCTTGGCCTGAAGATGTTTTCTGTTCAGAAATAGCCTAGAAGGATGAATTATTGTGCTAACACTGCAGAGTTTGTGCTTCTTTATAGATTTTCTCCACAACAAATCTAGACTAAGAGAATAGAACCCTCTCATTGTGCTTTTAACACAGCACTGCCCAAATATCTTCTATTGATCAGAGTCATTCTTCTCCACCCCCAAAAATTAATTGGTGAAAGAAGCTGTTTATACAGTGTTACATGTTGTAGTGATCCAGAAATTGTAATTCTGCTTGGTCTGTCCCCAAAAGACACTTAGAATGACCAGTGAGGAACTGTCAGTTTTCACACTTATATCATCATGGTACCCATTGTAAAAAAAAAACTAGTGAATCTTAAATGAAATTACTTCTAGTACTTTCATGCCCTGCCTTCAAGTATGACATGCACTTTCTTGTCTTCTGTTTCCACTGATTTATTCTGCTACCTAAGAGCCACAAAACTTGTGTTAAACCAAGCTGCAGGTTTGTTTCAACAAGAAAATATTTTTCGCTTCTTGCTTTTGGCCACGTGGCAGAACTCTTTGTACTTTTCTGAATATCTGGATTCATGGATTATGGGCTCTGTCTTGCACCCAAACGACATGCATCTAGACATTTTACACTGTCATGCTTACTTTCTCTCCTTCACTCTCAGATGTTGTGGTGGTGGCACCTGTCTCAAGTTCTCCTCTGTTTATCATGTACTTGCCAATCCATCCATGTGAGTTCCTGAGTCATTTCCACCTAAGTAATCAGAATGGTTCCTTTGGTGTTTGAGGCTACATTTTCCCTCCTCTGTTCCCATCCTTGTATATTATAAGCTTGAGGGTGAGGCAAGGATTTGTGGGCAATTATGGGAGCATTTAGGACTAAAGATTACAAAAGGTTCATATCAAAATGATAACAAGATTTTTACAAATGTATGCTTTATTTATTTATTTTTAAATGACGAGGTGTAGTATTGCTGTGAATACTCCAACAAGATTTCCCCAGTACATTAATTAATCTCTCCTTTCTCCTCCCTTTCTCTCCTCCCTTTCTTCAGAGGGGCTTTTTCAGTCGTGCGACGCTGTGTCAAACTCTGTACTGGACATGAGTATGCAGCAAAGATCATCAACACCAAGAAGCTCTCAGCAAGAGGTAGGCTCACTTTTCTTTGTTGTAATCGACTACCCTTTTGAAGTTTCTGTTACAGGGCAATTCACTGCTAGCAATTCATTTGTATGTGGCAACCCTTTGTTATCAGCCAGGAGAGAACATAATGTGCCATAATGTTCAAATGTCAGGAATGTTAGAGGGAAAAAGTAGAAGATTCATTGAAGACGAAACAAGCTGCTGTAGATCATCAGGCCAAAAACCAAAAGAAAAATAAAGACAGACATGTTCTACTATCATAAAGATGTATGTGGCAACCCTTTGTTATCAGCCAGGAGAGAACATAATGTGCCATAATGTTCAAATGTCAGGAATGATAGAGGGAAAAAGTAGAAGATTCACTGAAGACGATACAAGCTGCTGTAGATCATCAGGCCAAAACCAAAAGAAAAATAAAGACAGACATGTTCTACTACCATAAAGACTAACTGCTGTATTTTAAATGTGAGCTTTTGTAGTCATGGTTATTCTTTCTTTTGTTTTTTGGCCTGATATGCTAACCCTGACATGGCTAAAACCAACACTGTAGACTAGGAGTGCAGCAATTATTGCCAGTCAAATGGGGAGATATGGAAGAACTCTAAAGCAACAAAGGCTGGCTTGTTTGTGGTATTTTTGAAGTTAGCTTGGAAGTTTTCCTTATCATAGGCAAGTTAGGAGAGCTTTAGCTATTCTCCCAGAGGTGGCCATGCCATTAAGCCAAGTGAGGTGATCATTTCAGGCTGCTGAGGCAGCCTCTCTTTATTTATTTATTTATTTATTAACTTTATACTCTGCCCCTCTAAACCATGTCTACTTGGGGCGGCTTACAACATAAAATATATCAATACAAAATATATATAATCATAAAAAATACAATTACTGTATTAGTTAAAACAATTAATGTAAGAAATTAATGTTGCAAAAAAATGTTGCAAACCTGTCCCAGCCACCTAAATCAGACCGCTGTCCCTACAATACAGGAAGACACTATTTCAGTACAAGTGTTCAAGTAAGATTCAATTGTCAGCTCAGCTGGTTTTTGTGTGTGAAGGTGGAATGGAATTCTGTTTTGTCCTTTGGTTGCGGTGGCAAGATGCCTTGCACTAATCTGCACTTTCCAGATGTATCACTGTTCACTTGGAGTGTTGACATTTATGATGGGCTTGAAAGGTAGGATATTTCTCCTTTAGATAGTGGAAAGAATTGGATGTTGATACAAATGTGTGTGAGGAAAGGTGCTTGTAGATGTAGGAATAAGGAACTCAAAGTGAAAGAAATTGGGTTTCCGGAAGCCACAGGACTGTGAGCAATCAACCCATGCCTTGTATGATCATAGAAATACGTGGGACTTGTTAAGCCATGGGAGTTGTCTTATTGATTGATTGATTGATTGATTGATTGATTGATTGATTGATTTTATTCGATTTATATCCCGCCCATCTGGTATATTTTACCACTCTGGGCGGTTTACAGCATATCATAAATACATAAAGAAATACAAAAACATTACCATTCAGAAATAACAAATACTGTGCAGAATATAATAAATAATAAATAACAAAGCAAAAAGAAATCAGATGTTGACAAGAGGGAAGGCCTGGATGTACATCCATGTTTTCAGTTGGGATTTGAAAGTATCCAGCGTAGGGGCCTCGTAAATCTCCGGAGGGAGGTTGTTCCAAAGGCAAGGAGCCACCGCCGAGAAGGCCCGGTTTCATGTCTTTTCCCTCTGGACCTCCCTCGGTGTCAGGCTCCTCAGCCTCACCTCCTGACTCGCACGGGTGATCCGAGTAGATCTTGGTGGGAGCAGGCTTTCCGCCAAGTATCGAGGTCCTAAACCATTTAGGGCCTTATAGATAAGCATTAGAACTTTGAAGTCAATGCGGAAATGGATGGGCAGCCAATTAAGTAACAGTGAAGCACCTCCCAGTGAACTAGGTCTTGTACATACTCCTTAAAAAGAAGGTTGGCCATAAAATTTAGTGCTCCTTCGCTAGTAATGTGAGGATTTAACTGGGTTAATGATTACTTTTCAGACAAATCACTGTCATTAATGAATAGAGTGGTCATGTGTGAATAGCTTCTTCATATTTCGGCATACCATTAGCAAGTATAAGATCTAGTTTTGGATGTAGTAATTTGGTTGCTGTGGGGGTGGGTTTAGAATTGATGGTTGTTTGGGGGGGGAAGTGTTCATCTTCTTGCAGTAGAAGACATGTGACAGTGGGCAAGTTAAAGCCTGCTTGTCAAATTACATGATTGGTTTTGTGAACATGGGAAGTTGCCCTGTACTGATTTACATGATTTATCAGTTTAGGTGTAGATGATGTGCGCTGATAGGCATCAGGCAAATATTCAGCGTTTCGGACAAAGATCTTTTCCAGCTCTATGTGGAGCAACTAGTGGTTGAACATGGAATATGGTGTGGTCTGTGGTGAGTCCTGAGCACAGAAAATTGGCCCCTGGAACCCAGGGATCTGATAACCTGTTTTCTTTTATATACAGGGAACAAAATATTTATTCGATTGGCCAGCCCCTACCTTACTTCAGCCATTTCATTCTGAGAGATATTATCCAATGTACATAGAGTGTCAATTTGGGAGTGTTTCAGTGGGTTGGTAACTTTAAAGTCAAAGAAACAACCAAGATGGCCGAAGATATTGATGATAGATATATGCAAGTGGCAAGAAACCTGTTTACCTTATCATGAAGGTGGGATGCAACCCATTACAGATTGCAAGTGTGACATAGCACAACTCTGCAAGGTTTACACGGATGTTGTGGGTGTCTACCAAAGGAAGGCTAATGTGTTCTCAAAGGCTTTCATGGACGGGATCCATTGGTTGTTGTGGGTTTTTGTTTGGCCATGTTCTGGAGGTTTTTCTTCCTAATGTTTCACCAGTTTCTGTGGCTGGTATCTTCAGAGGACAGGAGCTAGAATTTTGTCTGTGTTCTGGTGTAGCGTGGTGGATTGCTGAGTATTTGTAGCTGTGGGGTCTGGGTTTTTTGTTCTTTTCAGGAGATTGGCTGTTTCCTGTGATCAGGGTGTTTATTCTTATGGGTGTTTTGTTGTGATAAGGGGGTCACGGACTGCATGCAGAAACTGTTGAAAAAACACAACCTACAAACAAAATGCAACAAATGTTACAGTCAGCAAAGGACAAAAGGGATTCCCTCACCACTGCAGGAGTATACCGGATACCTTGCAGTTGTGGCCAGGTATATATTGGGACCACAAAATGTAGCATCCAGACCAGAATCAAAGAGCATGAAATACACTGCATGCTAAAACAACCGGCAAAATCGGCAGTAGCTGAACACACCCTGAAACAAGCTGGAATGAAATCCTATTTCAAAACACAGAAGTATTGTACAGTATTGGACAACACCAGCAATCATTATGTTAGACTACACAGGGAAGCCATTGAAATCCGCAAACACCAGCACAGCTTCAACAAAAAAGAAGAAAGTCTAAAAATCAACAAAGCTTGGCTCCTAGCACTAAAAACTATAGCCTATAAAAAAAAGTCAATGACCTCTAAGGAGCCACAAGGACCAGTTATCACTGCACACAAAAGACAAGCCAACAACACCAATCAATCACAGTGACAGATCACTCCCCCCTTATCACAACAAAACACCCATAACAAAAAACACCTTGCTCACAGGGAATACCCAATATTCTGAAAAGAAAAAAAGCCCAGATCCCATAGCTACAAATACTCAACAATACCATCACCAGTGGAGGTGATGGCATCCCAGTGGAACTATTTAAAATCCTAAACGATGATGCTGTTAAAGTGCTACGTTCAATATGCCAGCAGGTTTGGAAAACTCAACAGTGGCCAGAGGACTGGAAAAGATCAGTCTACATCCCAATCCCAAAGAAGGGCAGTGCCAAA